TATGTATATATTGAAAGCTTGTGGTAGTAATAGGTCATTAAAGATTCTGTGATGTGTATGTACTTTCTTATCAGAAAGGATTCCCTGGTAGAGAAGTCAAAGAATTCAAGAAGTTTCTAGAAGCTAAAGGCAGCCCCCACCTAACAGCTAGCAAGAAACAACTCATAGCAGTGAATTGTGCCTTAAACAGGAAAGAGCATAGAACCTAGGTTTTCTTTACAGAATTCAGATAAGGGCTTACTCTAGCTATACTTTGAATTAACTGAAAATTTTGCCATTTAATGAAGGACTCCAGGTAATCAATCATTCCTCTAAGTTCTAAAGAAAGAACGAGCATTAAGAGGTATTTTTTTCCTTCCAGGTTTGTTAGTCTGAAAAAGAAAACAGTCACAAGTACTTACAGCCAAAAGACACATGGGAATCATTGATAAATTTTAGTTTAGTAACTGATGGGCTCAAACATTTTCATTGCCTTGGGTTTTAGTTCATGGATCTATAAAATGAAGTTTGATTAAGTTACGAGCTCCACTATGGACTTCTGTAAGTCAAAGGATTGCATTTTACCTTTTGTATTAGGCCAGGTATCTTCCTCCCTTCCATGCTGTGCCCCAAAAAGTTGGTCCCTAATAATTTCAGGAATGTGTTCCTTTGTCCCCAGCAATGGGAGAGAGGCAACAGCAGATCAGAGTGATAACGGAGAGTGATGGAGAGTCACTGTGCCCTCACCTCCTACAAGTGTGCTGTATGCTAAAGAGGAAGAGGAATTCCATTCAACTTAGGAACGTGAAGGAACAGGGTAGAAAGTGGCACAAATACAATTTCGTCCCCCACTGAAGGTATTTGTACTAGCTCTCCCTACAATAGGACTTCTTTGGAGCTAGGATTTTAAAGGAGTAATTAGGTTAAAGTGGTCTTAATGATACAGTCTTAATACACTCGATCAGTGACCTTGTAAGAGCAGGAAGATCTCCCTCCTCCCCCTCTCCTGATGCCTCCCCTTCTCCTTTTTCCTCCTCTTTTTTCCCTTTCCATGCACAAATGTGGTTAAGAATAAAGCCAGACAAAGGGAAAGAAATAGAAGTGAAGGAAAGAGGAAGAAAGGGAAAAGGAGAGAACTAAAAGAAGGGGAAGGAAGAAAGGGAAGGAGGGGAAGAGGAGGAGGAAGGGAAGGGACGGGGGACAGGTTCTGAATGGGAGAAAGGGTAGGGGAAGCTGAAGAGCGTGACTTGGAAGTCAGCATGAGCACTGTCTCCAAGGATCGTGTGGAGCCCAGCTCTTGGTGCTACTGAGAGGGTCTCATCATTCTATTAATCCATGGACGTATTTATGATACAGTAATATTATTAATTCCGTATTTATTGGGTGGTTGGGGAAACTAGAAGGCAGCACCTAGTTCAAGGAAGTAGGTCACTGGGGGTGTGCTCTCTGAGAGTACATTTCATCCCTCGCTCTTCCTTTATCTTTCTGGACTTCCTGGATAGATTTCATGAGGTGAGCAGTTTTGATCCATCACTCTCTCTGTCTCTCACAAACCACACACACACATACACGCACGCACGCACACACACACACACAGAGTATTCTGCCTTTCCTGAGGCCTAAAGCAATGAACCCAGCAAATATTGAATCAAACCTCTGAAACTGTGAGACCGAATTAATCTCTCCTCCTTTTAAATCTATTCTCTCAGCCTTTGTTATCACAATAAAATAGGGCAAGCACAGTGACCCAACAATATGGCACCATCAAAATAGATGGTACTCTTAACAGCCTGTTTGGAAAAGTATAAACTAGCTTGTGAAGTGTGACAGGTGAGCCAAGATGGAAATGAAACTGGCCATGACTTTGGAAATGATCACATGCATCAAGTTGTTAACAATGTGCCCTGTGAGCCAATGATCTTGCTGATACAGGAGGGCACTGGGCATGTTAACAAAACAGAGAGCACCATTAGCTGCAGGTGAGAACATACACCTCCAGATACACAGACACTCTTGGAATCTAGGGGTCCAACATACATGAATTGATCTTGGGAATAGCCTGCTGGTTCGTAGTTCTCAGGTCTCTCTGGACCCCTACTATCGCCCCCACCCCCCACTTCATTGCTAACTTCCTCCAAGTCCAGGGATGTCTCCGCAGAATTAATTCCCAAGTCTGAACATCTCAACATGTAGTAATCAGATGGTAAAAAGAAAGGCAAGAAGATAATGAGGCTGGAAATACTAATTTAGTATTCAATTATCTAAGTAATTAAGTGTGCAATAGCCAGACATTATAATGTAAATCATATTTATTATCTATTTTGTCTTTTCCAAGTTTTTTTAAGAGCTCATCTGATAAAGATTTGCAATGTGAATCTTTGAATCAGAAGACAGGATTTTAGTTAAACGAAGCTGCTTTTTAACAGATGAACGTCATAATATTCAACTCTTCATCCTCCCTACTAGACTGGTGGGGACAGTACAGGCATGTTCATAAACCATCTCTACAAAGAAAATTCCATGTTTCCTCTGTGACGGTTACTTGTAGTTGTCAACTTGGCATAATTTATAACAACCGGAGGAAAGAATCTCAATGAAGGAGAGTCTCGATGAGGTTGGCCTGTGGGCATGTCTCTGGGGTATTACCTGGTTATGTTCATTGATGAGGGAAGACCAGCCCATTGTGGGCACCATGCCTAGCTGGGGATCCTGAACTGTGATGAGAGCAAGCTGATCACCGATGGGTAGGAATGCATGTATTCTCTGTATGCTCTTGAAAGTGGATGTCACAAGCTCCTTCAAGTTCCCAGCTTGACCTCCCAGCATAGCTGGACTGTGTGACCTGGCACTGTGATCTAAAATAAACGCTTTCTGCCAGAGGTTGCTTTTTGTCAGGATATTTTATCAGAGTCACAGGAAGAAAAGTAGGACAGAACTTGTGAGGGACATTGCATTTGTCTTAAATCAGCAGCTAAAGTACTTCTACTATCTAAGACGCACTTATTTTTTAAAGCAGGTAAACTTTGAAGTGAGATTTCTCTCTTGTTATGTTAAATTTTGTCCAACTTGGTAAAATCCAGAAAGTATCAAGTTATTGACAATAATGACAAATTATAGTATTTAAGTAAATTTCAGTGCTCTAATTCTTTAAAGATTTTTATAATCAAAATATAATTCCCGCTTTCAAATACATTCTTTGTAGTATGCGTCCATGAGGGTTAAAATTCACCACATCCTACTTTGATAAGAAACAAGCACTTTCAAGATAAAGCGGAACTTTTCATTATTCCATCTTGAGGGATTCATAGCTTTTATAGGCTCTGTACTTTCCAAGTATATCAAGAAATATCTCACTGGACATGAACTACAAGTCAACGTTTCTATTCCTAACTTGACCTGTTTCTAAATTTGTCTTTTTACATATTGCAAATTTGATCCACATTGAAAACCATATGGTGTTTTTAAAATTATAGCTTTCTTGACAGTATTGTGTGCATAGTCTAAAGTCACCCGGGATAGTGCTATTTGAGGGCATAGAATTTAATGTCTATTGTTAAGAAGTTCAAAGTTCTTAAATAGCTATCGGCCATAGCTAATTGGCAAACTCAGCACACATATTAAAATACAACAAAATATCTCAGCTAAAGAAGTTTAGCTCTTATTCTTTAACCTCGTGTGTTTTTAAACATATTTCACTATAATTATATTTCATTTATATGTACGTTCGTGGGTCTGCATGAGTGTGCCCGAGAAGCCAGAAGATAGTGTGGATTATTGAATCACCTGGAGCTGGAGCTGTAGGCAGCCACCTGTCATGGGAGCCAGAAATGGATCTCAAGTCCTTGGAAGAGGAGCAAGCTCTCCTAACTACTGAGCCATCTCCTGTCCCTAATCTTACAGTTTAATGTTATTATATTGTCAGGGAACAAACTGTTGTCAGAAATCTGAGGAATCCATTCTGAGGTTTTAGATTTAGTAGAGCCATTGTCTCTTACCACACACAGCACAGCCGGAAATTTCTGTTTCTTAAAGAAGTTGGTCTAAATGCTGAGGAAATGTTATCTAAAACACAGTGCTTTCTTCTGCACTTCAAGTGGCTTTTCGTAGGCTACTACACTGGTAAAACAATAGGTTATACTTCAGGAGCAGGGAAGGGGAAAAAGGACCAGAGTGCTAATTAAATTTGAAGTGCACAAATTCCCAGAATGATAAATACATGGGGGAATATGGTAATTCCAAATGTCAACCTCGTTTTCACTGAACTTCTGAAATTTTTAATAATGCTTTAATTTTTCACCTTTATAGAAAACTGAAGGTCTACTTTTATCAAAGGTCACACAAGAACCCAAATGCAGACTTGGATATAATATTTCTATGCACAAAAAAATGACATGTGAAAAGCCCAGTTAGCAGGTTGAATTTTTGTACTCCCCCACCCCTGCCACCACCCCCACCCCAGCAAGGAAGAGAAAATGCATAAATCATCTCTTAGCTGTATACCACTAATTTCATGTTCTATACTTGTCCTCCTCTACATTTTTATGCTAATA